CAGTCTTGATGAATGCTACTGTTGTTTGCGTCATACTTGTTTCGGTTTGTGTATCTTGTTCTGCAATTTCGACAATATTTTTTTGTGTAGATATTTCTTCTTGCACAACAATCTCTTTTTGTTCTTCCTCGGTATCCGACGTACCTTCGAACAACCAAATGTCGAAATCGATCTCGATATGTTGTTTGTAAGAGGTTGGTATTTCAAATTCAACGTTATACCTGGATAACGAGGATACTAGTTTGTCTCTAACGCTTGAAAATACCTGGTAGGACTCCAATTGGTGAGCTTTTGTTAGGGTATTATTAACTCTACGTATGAGTTTTCCTATATTGTTTAGCGATGACAGTAGAACATTTAAATGTTTCTTTACTGTTTCAGTTTTAATTTTTATGTTCTTACATATGCACTTATAAGATTTTTCCGCGTTTATTTTATTTTCAGTGAGTTCCTTCGAAATTTCTTCCCACTTCTCCATTGAGAGGATGAATCAATAATAAAAAAAATGTTTATTTAAACCTTATCCAGACCGTCAGCGCGGCTCTGGTACCTCTTTTTAAGAATTTTATTGTGGGTTGAGTAAAATTTCAAGAATAAACCCACTGCGTTGATAACAACGATAACTATAAGGTAAGGTTGTATCCAAAGCTTCAGTGTGGTCTATTATCTGAACCGTGTTTACCACGTTAGCATTTGGATCACTGACCTTCGATTCTTTACCTCCCATTTTTAAAACAAATTTGTAATAATCAGTAAAAATTTTTCTTTTTCAAAATTTATCTATTTTGTTTTTTTTTTCTTTTTTTTTTTTAACAGCCAGGTTCAAAGCCTGCCTTTCGCATTGCTCTTGTTATTTCTTCTGTCAAAGTGGTTGGGGTGAGTACATCCTGCATTGTAGGCTCTCGGGTCATGCCAATATCTTTCCAGAGTTTCTTTAAAACCTCAAGCTCTTTTTCATAGTTCGGTTCCAAATTTGGTAAAACTTCATCCAAATTCCAATTAAGGGGGTTTTTGGAAAAATCTCTGGGCATCGTGGAATCAAGTATAAACAACAATTAAAAAAAAAATCTTTTTTTTTTTTATTTATTTAATTAAAAAAAAAAATCTCATTCAGAAAATTATAGTTTTCTTAATTCGTAAATTTTTGCCATTAATTTAAGTCTATCATTATTTGTTGTGGCAAAATTTAGTGCCCTATATGTCAAAGCTATTTCTTTCTTCTTCCTGTATCGCTTTCCTCCTCGAGTTTGCTTTTTAGTTTTGAAAATGGGTGGAATCTTTGGTTCTTCCACCCGTCTTTGTAATTTGTTTCGCCGCCGATATTCCTCGATAGTTATCGGTTGCGGCCCTGTTTGTACAACTTCGGAGGTTTGA